TGGCTACAGTAAATGCCTGGTCTGCAGTGATTGCAACATAATGCTGGTCATAGGACATACACATTATTACTCAGCCACTGCGCTACTGGGTAATAGATTTGTGTTGACTCTTTTAACAATTATCCGATGTGTTTGAAACTGAATACAATCCATAGATGAAAATTTCTGTTTTACATAATCAGATTTATTTAAACTGCATCTGATTAATGAGATGGCAAAATAGGTTTATCTCATTCGATTAATCTGATGAAGTTGAACATGTCCGATATACAAAAAATTGGATCAGAAATTAGATTCTGTGGATTACGCTTTCAGATCAATCTAATCAGATTAATCAGATTTAAAATCAAACATCAGATTTCGCAGTTTTCGTGATTTAATTTATGTGATAAAATGAATCTGATCAGATAAATCTGATCGTGAAAACTGGTCTGAACCAGTTAGTATCGGTGGAATTATCATACATGTATTTGAATTCAAATTACCATAATAACTCGTCGGTCAAGATTTGACCTGAAAAAAATCATTCTTCCATGACACTACAGATGTTGGGCAAGATTATTACTTAGTCGATCAGTCAGCACATCGATTATGAATTTCCGTGATGGAAAGCTTAGTACAGGGCTTTTCGTTGCTGGTCCACAGGGTTGCATCGACCATGTGTCCGCCATTTTGGAAAGTGATTTTATTCTTTGACGTCATTTAAGTGAACCACCCTATGGTGCGTAAATTAATGTTTTTGGATTGGTCGGGCAATTGACCTCGTGTCACATTTTCATTATAGATGACAGTGCTTGACAAAAAAACAACAACAATCATGTAAACAATGAACACATGACTACAAAAATGCAATCAACGGGGCAGAAGACCACCTTATCCGAAGCAACACTGAAATAGCCGAAATCATTGCCGATCTGCTTTTAGACGACGATGAAGATGGTGATTGGTTTGACGGCTTCACTGTCGAACAATTTATAATTTGTGTCTGACAGTACTGCCTAGAAACATTAAAAAAAGGGAGTGCAGCCAGACGGCTACTTTGCAGCCATGTGTTCATTGCTTGTTTGTGTACAGAGTGACCTTTGCCATTCCACTGTTCCATTTCAAGTGTAACATGGTGCGTGGTCCTTGACGCAATGCATGTTCTCTGCCCGACTATACGCCATGAATGTCGCTAGCCACGAGTCTCAGAGGCACTAAAACAACGTCCTGTAATCGTGTTCATTGGAAAACAAAACAAATCACTAATAAATTTATGAAAACAGCTTTTTTTGAATTGATCTAATAGTACTCTTTTAATTCGCGCACCAAAAACCAATAATTTCCATTTTTACGATATTAATTCATGCACTTGAAAAAATAATTATTTTTACTACCATGAATTACCCCGGTAATAGTTTTTATGGTAATGCATTATTATTAGGTCCGCTGTCGACTTTGTCGAGCGGAGCTTTTCATATGAGTGATTGTCCGTCGACGTCTGTGTCAATGTTTTACTTTTCCGACTTCTTCTTGAAAATTACAAGCCTGAATGCTTTGATACTTGGTGTATATGTATCTTGGGTAGACCTCTCTTAAATTTGTTCATTTCATGATGATATCTTCAACTCTAATTTTGGTGAATATTTTGAACTTCTTGTTAAAAACCGCAAGTCTGATTGCTTTGATATTGCATATATAGGTACTACATGTGGACCTCTCTCGGATTTGTTAATTTTGTGATGATATCTTCAATTCTCTAATTTTGGTGAATATTTTTGTAATTTTTGGTAAAAAGTGATATTTTTAACTTCTTGTTAAAAACCCAAGTCTGATTGCTTCGATACTATACATATAGGTACCTCAGATAGACCTCTCTCAGATTTGTTCATTTCGTGATAATAAG